AAATATGTTACGTAGAACAAACATGTAGACCAAGGAGTCACGTCGGCTCTATTCACGGCATTTCTATCTGCAACGTCCGACAACGTTTGGTAACAGAACGTGGCACAGGGTTGCACTGGGTTCAAGGAACATATGCAATTGATGTTAATTATGTAGCAGACCGATAAATCTAATGTGGATATGCAGATAGTTTCCAATGTGGGAAGACTCTAGTGCTGTCAATTCTTTAGTCACATTAAATTATCACATTCAATGTTTTGGCCCTTTGGGTCTGAGTGGTTACAGAAACATCAGGAAGAGGCCATTAACTAACATCTGTGTAAGTGGGCTTTTGGGTTGAAACTGTTGTTGCGTGGGAGGGCTATAACACTGAGGTCAGAATAGCAATATGTCTTCAACAGCAAACAAAGTGGCACATTATACAAATATTAGATGTGTGCAGCACAGACAGAAGAGCAACAAAGTTAAAGGGATTCTGCTAGATTCTGGCGTTAACGCAATGACTGGAAGTCTATAGGTACAGTAGCATAAACTAGTTAGCATTGGCTCTCAAAACTACCTCTAACTTCCTTCATACTGCACGCAGGGACATAAAAATGGTATCCACGAGTTCATCTCACTCTGGGCAAGTAGAACAAATAATTGTGCACTATCCCTTTAAGCTCCTATATGCATGTTCAGCCTTCTCCAAAAGGTCTCTGAAATGCTGTGTCACTGACACGAGTCCAATGAATGGACCAATCAAGAGAGAGGGACCCGGGACAAACTGTAGCTAACACACCGTTTAATAAAGGCCTCTCCAAGGCTTCTGAAGATGCCATGTGTCACATTCCCATATTCTGACTAAATGTAGCCGTTTCTAAGTGCTACTTCCACACTTCCACTGGCTGCTCTCCCTGCCTGTGCTCCGGAACATTCAGTGACACATCGCCATCAGATGAGTTCTGTTTATGACAAGCTCCTTCATCCAAACAGGAAACGTTGAGCAGGCGTCCCATGAGGTTCCAATGCTGCGTTGTGAAAGAGGGCGCCAGGTTACCAGGAGCGTGGGAGACATTTTCAGAGCTAAGAAGGCTATGGGAGAATCTCAATTGCATTTCCCTGATTCCTCGCGTCCTCTGTCCTCGCCTCCTTCTCAAAACCCATAGGATGAGAAAGTCAGAAGGGAGGGACCTCTGACCTCATCCAATTGGTTTTGAGAAGGAGGCGAGGAGAGAGGACATGAAAATGCAATTGACATTCTCCCTATGACTCTGTCTCTTACTGATAGGACAGGGCAGTACAGGGAGGGAGGAGAGAACACTGTCCTAACAGATCTGGGCCCGGTTTCCCAAAAGCATCGTTAGAACCTTAGTAGGGAAATAGTTAAATCTCAGAGCTCTTGGTCCCAAAACCATCATTACTAAAGTTACACTTGAAAACGCTTGTTGTTTACTGACTGGTAAAGGCAATTTCATGTTCAGTCAATTGATTTCTATTTGTAGGCTAAACTGTCTTTATTTTTGCCTCAATATATTTATTGATGAGTAACAATGGCAGGTAGCCTAGTGGTTAGAGCGGCGAGCCGGCATCCCGAGGGAGGGCTGCCAGTTTGAATCCCGGGTCCGATGTGAAAAATCTGGCGGGAAGTGAGCTGGCAACCAGAGGGTTGCTGGTATCAAATCCTAAATGCCATTGCCTGCCGTTGTACCCTTGAGCAAGACAATTAAAACCCCACACCAATAGCTCCCAGAGCGCCCAGTGAGGCAGCCCCCCGCACTTCTCCAAAACCTGTGTGTGTCTTTCCGAGAGGTTGGGTTAAAAGCGGAAGTAAAATTTCAGTTGGATCTGGTGTGCAGTTGACCAGTAAAGTAATCTTAAATGTGCGCATTGATGTGCCAAATGAATCTGTGTTTCAATGCATTATTATAGGGTAAGCACTAGAATAAGCCACCTCAATATTTGGAGCCATAAGGTGATAATATCTCTCTAGGAGCTGATCCGCTGTCAGTATTGTAGAATAATTATAATGATAAGGTAAGATTTTAATGGAGAAAGCTGATCTGAGAGCAGCACTGCCTTTCTTTCGATCCTATAAGTATCAACATATGGTGCGTGTTTTTGCTTCGGCCGTTGTAGGAACGATGCATTGTTAAAACACTCATAAGCCTAAATTCCATCGCTATCGGGAAACCGGGTCCTGACCACTGACCAGACTCCAACTCCCAGAGGCCTCTCTGTCTAGCTGCCTACTGGAATCACACTGCTGAAATCAGCATTCCTTTGTCAGAAGAAAAAAACATAAGTTTATTCTTATATCCCCTATCTAGTCGTCTTTGTTTTATAATCTTTAGTTATATATTTTTGAAAACTGTCAAAGCGCCACTGGTCCAATTTGGACCAAATTATTGTACTGGCAAAATTTGATATACCATTAAGAAACTGTTCAAATTAGGCTACGCAGATTAATTCAATTTACAGTTTTGCAAGCTACAGTCGTGGTCAAAAGTTTTGAGAATGACACAAATACTAATTTTCACAAAGTCTGCTGCCTCAGTTTTAATGATGGCAATTTGCATATACTCCAGAATGTCATGAAGAGTGATCAGATGAATTGCAATTAATTGCAAAGTCCCTCTTTGCCATGAAAATGAACTTAATCCCCCAAAAACATTTCCACTGCATTTCAGCCCTGCCACAAAAGGACCAGCTGCCATCATGTCAGTGATTCTCTCGTTAACACAGGTGAGAGTGTTGACGAGGACAAGGCTGGAGATCACTCTGTCATGCTGGTTGAGTTAGAATAACAGACAGGAGGGTGATGCTTGAAATCATTGTTCTTCCTCTGTTAACCATGGTTACCTGTAAGGAAACACATGCCGTCATCATTGCTTTGTACAAAAAGGGCTTCACAGGCAAGGAAATTGCTGCTAGTAAGATTGCACCTAAATCAACCATTTATTGGATCATCAAGAACTTCAAGGAGAGAGGTTCAATTGTTGTGAAGAAGGCGTCAGGGCGTCCAAGAGAGTCCAGCAAGTGCCAGGACCGTCTCCTAAAGTTGATTCAGCTGCGTGATTGGAGCACCACCAGTGCAGAGCTTGCTCAGGAATGGCAGCAGGCAGGTGTGAGTGCATCTGCACACACAGTGAGGCGAAGACTTTTGGAGGATGGCCTGGTGTCAAGAAGGGCAGCAAAAAAGCCACCTCTCCAGGAAAAACATCAGGAACAGACTGATATTCTGCAAAAGATACAGGGATTGGACTGCTGAGGACTGGGGTAAAGTCATTTTCTCTGATGAATCCCCTTTCCGATTGTTTGGGGCATCCGGAAAACACCTTGTCCGGAGAAGACAAGGTGAGCGCTACCATCAGTCCTGTGTCATGCCAACAGTAAAGCATCCTGAGACCATTCATGTGTGGGGTTGCTTCTCAGCCAAGGGAGTGGGCTCACTCACAATTTTGCCTAAGAACACAGCGATGAATAAAGAATGGTACCAACACATCCTCTGAGAGCAACTTCTCCCAACCATCCAAGAACAGTTTGGTGATGACCAATGCCTTTTCCAGCATGATGGAGCGCCTTGCCATAAGGCAAAAGTGATAACTAAGTGGCTCGGGGAACAAAACATCGACATTTTGGGTCCATGGCCAGGAAACTCCCCAGATCTTAATCCCATTGAGAACTTGTGGTCGATCCTCAAGAGGCGGGTGGACAAACAAAAACCCACAAATTCTGACAAACTCCAAGCATTGATTATGCAAGAATGGGCTGCCATCAGTCAGGATGTGGCCCAGAAGTTAATTGACAGCATGTCAGGGCGGATTGCAGAGGTCTTGAAAAAGAAGGGTCAACACTGCAAATATTGACTCTTTGCATAAACTAAATGTAATTGTCAATAAAAGCCTTTGACACTTATGGAATGCTTGTAATTATACTTCAGTATACCATAGTAACATCTGACAAAAATATCTCATAACGCTGAAGCAGCGAACTTTGTGAAGACCAATACTTGTGTCATTCTCAAAACTTTTGACCACGACTGTATAGGGATTTCAAGTTGGGTCCCTGTTAAAAAAGATTCAAATTCAGACGCTGACATTTCGTAACGTTAATTAACTATAGTTAGGAGAGATTCAAATGTATTTCTCTGACAGGGTATAAATTAAGGACCAGGTAGGGATAATTATGCAGAAAGTTAGTCATTATAGCATATGACCTATTCAAAAAAAATAAATAATAATAATTAGGAGTTGGCTGACCTGCTCAGTGCAATCTAATGTGAAACCGCTCCCAAGCTACTGGATCAATCACTTACCTCCTACAGATCATTACTGAGAATAGCCCTAATAATTTACAGCTGTAATAGTGGTGCACTCTAAGTTATCATTTGCTGATGTGTGTTTTGATAACACTGGGTATCCAGACTGCAGTAGCTATAAGCTCTTGTCACCCACACACCTAATTAAGAATAGGCAAATTATTACTGTGAGGAGGGAATTGGCCAGAAAAACCAACCTAGATGTAATCATGTAGCTGAAAATAAAGTGAATTGATTATTGACCTATGCGCAGAACTAATGAAGTGACATATGTAAGGATTGGCTTTACTTGTAATGCATGTTCCTGCAAAATATGACCTGGAAATAGTTGTACTTGTAATACATGTGTCCTTCTGCTCATACTAAATATGGCGGGGAAATGGTAGCTGAAAAAGGTATGAAAATGTATGCACTCACTACTGTAAGTCGCTCTGGATAAGAGCGTCTGCTAAATTACTAAAATGTAAAAAAATGTAAATGTACATAGGAGGACACAAACAATTAGCTAATGTCATGTAGGAGCCTGGAAAGATCTGATAAACCCAGTGAAACTCAGGTGTTTGGTGGAGTGATGGGCCAATGTAAGTACATACTTCCCCAGATATACTCCTTTTGACCCTCTCTCCTGTCTCCCTCCTCTTCTCCTCCATCTCTCTAAATGTCTCTCTCTCTCCCTCTCTCTTCTATCTCTCTCCTCCAGATATGCCCCTCCATGTGCGTCGCAGTAGTGACCCGGCCCTGGCGACAGTCAACGGGCCGTTCTGCGACCCCCGCGTGACCCTGCCGCCGGAGAAACCGTCCAGGAAGAACCCCACCCGCTGGTCCACCACGGCTGGCTTCCTCAAACCACGACGCTCTGTAGGAGGCACCAGCACTGGCACCAACAGCCTGGAGAGAAAGGTAGCCAACGATCATACAACTCTTATCTCTGCAGTTGAACGGTTTTAAGTGATGGTCCCCTGTACAGTATCTTCAGTGTATGACATTAGCTGCCTGTATCCTCTCTCGGGCTCTCCTCTCATAGTGTACAGTATGTAGACCTATTTAGCAAGGGCCCCAGCTAATATAAATACACACACACACACACACACACACACACACACACACACACACACACACAGTGGGGAAAAAAAAGTATTTAGTCAGCCAACAATAGTGCAAGTTCTCCCACTTAAAAAGATGAGAGGCCTGTAATTTTCATCATAGGTGCACGTCAACTATGACAGACAAATTGAGAAAAAAAATTCCAGAAAATCACATTGTAGGATTTTAATGAATTTATTTGCAAATTATGGTGGAAAATAAGTATTTGGTCAGCCAACAATAGTGCAAGTTCTCCCACTTAAAAAGATGAGAGGCCTGTAATTTTCATCATAGGTGCACGTCAACTATGACAGACAAATTGAGAAAAAAAATTCCAGAAAATCACATTGTAGGATTTTAATGAATTTATTTGCAAATTATGGTGGAAAATAAGTATTTGGTCACCTACAAACAAGCAATATTTCTGGCTCTCACAGACCTGTAAATTCTTCTTTAAGAGGCTCCTCTGTCCTCCACTCGTTACCTGTATTAATGGCACCTGTTTGAACTTCTTATCAGTATAAAAGACACCTGTCCACAACCTCAAACAGTCACACTCCAAACTCCACTATGGCCAAGACCAAATAACTGTCAAAGGACACCAGAAACAAAATTGTAGACCTGCACCAGGCTGGGAAGACTGAATCTGCAATAGGTAAGCAGCTTGGTTTGAAGAAATCAACTGTGGGAGCAATTATTAGGAAATGGAAGACATACAAGACCACTGATAATCTCCCTCGATCTGGGGCTCCACGCAAGATCTCACCCCGTGGGGTCAAAATGATCACAAGAACGGTGAGCAGAAATCCCAGAACCACACGGGGGGACCTAGTGAATGACCTGCAGAGAGCTGGGACCAAAGTAACAAAGCCTACCATCAGTAACACACTACGCCGCCAGGGACTCAAATCCTGCAGTGCCAGACGTGTCCCCCTGCTTAAGCCAGTACATGTCCAGGCCCGTCTGAAGTTTGCTAGAGTGCATTTGGATGATCCAGAAGAGGATTGGGAGAATGTCATATGGTCAGATGAAACCAAAATAGAACTTTTTGGTAAAAACTCAACTTGTCGTGTTTGGAGGACAAAGAATGCTGAGTTGCATCCAAAGAACACCATACCTACTGTGAAGCATGGGGGTGGAAACATCATGCTTTGGGGCTGTTTTTCTGCAAAGGGACCAGGACGACTGATACGTGTAAAGGAAAAAATGAATGGGGCCATGTATCGTGAGATTTTGAGTGAAAACCTCCTTCCATCAGCGGCCTATACCATTGATTTATCCACTGCTTTAACATATTCCTTCTGATGTGTGTACATCATATTTGTCATGGAGATGAGCGATACTTCCTGGAATTTTTTATATTACACTCCCCTGGTCATGACAAATGAGCCAGTAATATTCTACAACAATACAACCTGCTATGTTTAATTGAAAGGTGTGCAGTCGGTAGGTAGCCTGGTCCCATGATGTTATCCTGAAGGTTTAAAGCATTGATATCCATCGTAGAGGTCATTATAATTAGACTGAAAGGTGGATATAAGTACCATCTATACTGTATCTGTAGCCTATATCTTTAAGGGATGGTTTAAGCCTAGCCTAGGATAATCTCCATTGAAAATGTTTTTTTTTTAGTCCAGCACTAGGAATAATCTGTGTCTGGGAAACCTGCCCTAAGGGTCTTCCTTGTTCCTGTCTGTCCAGGGTAATGGTTCGGACACGTACCGTAGTCTCCCCCGGGATGCAGGCAACCAGAGAGATTTCCAGAGAGAGACGGCCCGCTCCTCCCTGAGCGCCAACCACCCCATGGTAGACCGCTGGCTGGAGAGACGGGAGCAGGTAGGACCACTCTCTCTCTCACACACACACACGCACGCACACACACACACACACACACACACGCACACTCACAGACACAAGACACACACGTGGACACACACTGTACATGTCATGCAAACCTGGTATTACCAGCCACATTTACATTACATACATGTGAGTCATTTAGCAGATGCTCTTATCCAGAGCGACTTACATGTCCTTCCATACTATCCTACTACATCATCTCTAAGCATCTGCCTGAGAAGAACCAGACCTGTGGTATTTTCACCAGACATCCAGACTTCGGACATGTGTCCCAAATGGTAACTTATTCCCTATAAAGTGCACTACTTTTGACCAGAGGCCTAGATGGGCCCTTGTCAGAAGTAGTGCCCTTTAAAGGTAATAGGGTGCCACTTTGGGCAGATACTTGGTAGAGCAGGTTGTAGAATGAAAGGGAGAAGGAAGGAGTAAAAGGTCTTCCACATGTCAGCCTGTAGAGACAGAATAAATGCACTGCTAAAGACTCCCTCTCCGCTGCCTCTCCTCTCCGCTGCCTCCGTCTCTCTTCCATGTGAACCACTGCATTTGTTGACAGAATGAGTTCGGCAGTTCATCTGTCCGTGGGCGGCTGGGCCGATTGGCTGCTCTGCTGTGGAGCAGCTACACTGACGATGACTGGTGGTGGGTGTGTCCCAAATGGCACCCTATTCCCTACATAGTGCACTACTTTTGACCAGCTCTTCTTAAAAGTAGTGCACTATGTAGGGAATAGGGTGCCATTTGGGATGCAACCTGGGATGTTTCTCATCTAGTGGTGATGATCACCATGTAACTCTTTCTCTCGACCATTCACTCCTTTTATGCTCAGTGACATGAGTGAGAGATGAGCTGATATTAAAAGGACATTTGGAGCTATGAAGGATTTAGTCACTCAATTACCCTGACTGAGGAATTTATATCCTACAGCAACAGATGTTTGGAGGTCTGTATTGCATAGAGCTGTAGTAGACATCACTGTAATGGGCCACATCGACTGTGTCTCAAACAGCTCCCTTTTCCAGGGTCCTTAGGTCAAAAGTAGTGCACTACATAGGGAAAAGGCTTCCATTTGGGACGCATCCATTGTCTCTGTTTTGTCTCACTGTTGTAAGTGCTTGTTCAGATTCTTCTGGAGGGAGGATGGAGGGATGACCCAATTCTATTATAAGATGAGAAACGTCTTGTTTGTCCAGTGATGGAACGCCCTGAAAGTCATGACACCATCGGGGTTCACAGAAAATCTATTCTGCCGATATTTCTGAAGTCATTGAGGTTCTGAGAATGTTCAAATAACTCAAACTGATAGGTTGTGATGTGAATCCTAAAAGTTGAACCTTTATCGCCCACCCTGGCAACAGGTACTGTAGCTATGGCAACATGAGAGTGCAGAGGTGTGTGTGTGTGTTCAGAGATCTGTCATGTGTTTTAATGAGCCACAGCTGGCAGCACAGGAGCAGGAGCATGGGAGGGTATGTAAAATTACTTTTGATTTAGAATGTTCCATTATCAAATGGGCGGCATGGGAAAAAAAGACATGTCATCTGTATGCACTCGAATAGCGAATGGAGGCTGCGCGCTTTACCGCCAGTCCGTTTTCAATGGTGCTTAATTTGGGAATCCAAGTGAAATCTGTTCGGGAACATCGATAGTAACATGTTTTCGCAATGATACATATTTCACTAAACTGTTGACAGCCAGCCTCTGCACGCTGGAGAAAGGAATAAAGGAGAGAGAGAAGGAGATGGAAACGCATGGTGTTGAGATTCTGTATAGCTAAAGGTAAAGTGTCACCTAATTAATTATGAAAATATAATAAATTCCCTATTACTAGGCTATTCAAAATCAAATACAAATTCACTATAATTGTAGACTAACTCTGTAAACCGCCCTGCACAATCAATGAACCAACAGCATCGCCTAGGGCTATACGTTCTCTCCCAGACTCAAGGTTGGAGCGTAGCATAAGGTAACCAGTCCATCCAGTATGCATAATAATACAGTCCACACTCAAAGTCGATTACTCAAATTAATTTTGGAGTATAGGCTAGACCAATTATGTACCAAAGACATCTTAAATCAGTTTTGTTTTATGTTTTTCTGCCATGCGTAATATGCAGTAGGCTATGTATTGTATAACAGCACAATCATAATTTTAATTCAGGGTTTCTTTCGGTCTCGGGCTCATAAGCCTATGCATATGCAGTAATAGGCAGTCACTTTTTTTTAAACTTTTATTAATTGTTGTATTCTGTGTTACAGCATTCAAACCACATAATGCATAGTGCATTTAATGTAAAAAATTTACCGAAATCGAAAACCGTGATTATTTTGTAATAATCGAACCGAAACCAAACCAACCTCAAAAAGCACTAATCACTCAGCACTAATAATGGCTGATCCCAAGCCGTGATCCCAGTTACAGACTTGTACATATGTGAAACAGAACAAATACTGTATAAGCACCCCCTATTTCACACACACACAGCTAGCTAGCTGCTGTATCATAGCATCACAGAGTGAAGGTATTGAAGGTTTGTACTGTGTGGAGTGGAGACACCCTGAAGCATGCCTCAGGCTCCCTCCCAGCCATCTACCAACACACACCAGCCCTGTAGATGAGAGGATATGCCTGGCAAGATAACCTTTCCCTCGTTACCCTATGAGGTTTAGCTATCTACTCCAGCTGGACCTAGAGAGCAGTGTCAGGGGCCAGGGACAGATACTGCTGTGCTTAATTGGCTTTTTTAGGAGAGAGAATATCTCTTCTCATTTTCTCTCGTCTATCAGGTTGGTCACCGTAACTGGAATGCCTTCTAAATGAATGAAGGAGTGAGCCTTAGCCTGGCCTCAATTCTCACTTCTAGCAGTATTGCCTGAGGTTGGCTTGGATGTGTTTGGTTGGCCTAGGGCTGGATACGACTCACACAGCTCCTGAATGAATGTTACACTTGTATCCATGTCAGGAGAAAAGATACCACTATCCATTCCATGGATTTACCTTGAATCATCGTTTTTTTTTTTTTTGCTTTCCCTCCTTCTAAGATATTTTCTGTCCGGTATGTCCTTGTCCATTTGTCCATTGTGTGTATCCATGTTCTTTGTCATGATTAGACTTGGATCTGTGCATTACGAAACCACAGGGGAGAAGAAGCCTGTAGATACGGTTAGGTCCCTCCAGCGCTCCCTGATTTCCTGCAAACTACAACAAAGATGAGGAAGTCCCTCAGGTGGCAGTGGAGCCGAATGGAGCCTACAGTCGCCTGGTTTAGTATGATAAATCATGCAAAGCCGAGCAATAGAGCCATAAATCATGTCTGGTGGAGCTGCTTCAGGAGGATGTGCTTCTAGCTTCCTGGTAGCTAGCAGTGGAGGTATGTTTGTATGAGGCTTAATAAGATAGCTGAGTGTGAGTGGTCCACCTCTTGTCTTGGCCACAGAGGACCACCGTTCCATAAGCCCATATTGATGACTAGAGAGCTCCTCTCCATAGAGATGACTAGAGAGCTCCTCTCCATAGAGATGACTAGAGAGCTCCTCTCCATAAGCCTCACCAGTAGGTGCTGCTGTGGCCTCAGGATTGGGGACAGGTACTGTATGGATAATCTGGTTACTCTCACTCACTGTGTAACCCTCACTTTCTTTTTCATTTCCCCTCTCTCTCACACTCTCTCTCTCTCTCACTCACTCACTCCCTTTCTCTCCATCTCTCTTTCTCACTCTCTCTCTCCTCTCTCTCTCTCTCTCTGTTTACTCCGCGCTGCATCTTTCCCATTGCTTTTCTCTCAAATAGAACCTCTCTTCTCTACATGGCTGCACTGACCGTACTAGCATCGCTCTCATGTTCTGTCTCATCTGGATCTCTCTCCTTTCTTCGTTTCTCTCTCTGTGATCTTAGTTCTCTTTTGTTTTAATGTGACAGAGAGCTGCCTGCTGGCGCTGACGTCCCGTTGAGATAGATGGGAGTTGAAAGGCTCAGGGTCCCCCTCTAGCAGGGAAAGACACCTGGGAATGCTTCCCTCCCAGAGGCATTGTACATATTGTCGCAGCATTCAACCCCACAACACGCTAATTACAAGGAAAATGTACCCTCGTTTCTACAACCTTGTTAGCAATTGATACTCTGTTGAAGTCGGCAAGATTTCCAACAACCGTTCTTCACATTTGTCATTAGCAATATCTGAATGAGGGAAAAGGACACCCTTAAATGTGAACGGGGGAGTGATAGAAAATGTCTATTGTTTTGTGGTTTAAACATGAGAGTAGTGCTATCAAAGGTAGTGCCAGGGCTGGAACAACATGCCATCCATCATTAGAAATCCTACCCGCTTTGACACGATGCAGTGCCCTGGCATGATACCACTTAGTATGGGCCCCTGAATGTGTAACACAGATAGAAAAACACTGATTGCCATTCTGTCCTTCAGATTTCCATTCTTATAAGAGAATTACCAGTCATTAGGCCCTTTGTCAGACTGTAACTCTCCACAGACGAGACTAGCCCAGTGATATGCGTATGCGTCCCAAACGACAAGCCCAAATGATGGGCTGTGTCCCAAATGGTACCCTATTCCCATTATAGTGACCCATAGGGCTTTGGACAAAACCAAATCAAATGTTATTGGTCGCATACACATTTAGAAGATGTTATTGTGAGTGTAGCGAAATGCTTGTGTTCCTAGCGCCAACAGTGCAGTTATCTCTAACAATACACAACAATACACATTAATCTAATAGTAAAGAATGGAATTAAGAAATATATAAATATTAGGACGAGCAATGTTGGAGTCTGGTGTGTGTGTGTGTGTGTGTGTGGTATGTATATATATATATATATATATATATATATATATATATATATATATATATATATATATATATATATATATATATATATATATATATATATATATACACAGTGGGGAAAAAAAGTATTTAGTCAGCCACCAATTGTGCAAGTTCTCCCACTCAAAAAGATG